CCAATGGCTAAGATTACACGCATGGTTGCGCAGCGAGATTTTCTCTATTAAAAATTCTATCGCGGGATCTCTCGTGGTAAAGTAGAAAATTGCAGATGTGGCGTGCGAAGCGTATCTTCTGTAATGCGTAGCACGTGTGCGAATGAAAGCGAGAGAGTTTCCTGCGGCGCCACGGGAAACACCGGATTCAATCAATGATTCGACAAATAGGGGTAAGTGAATAGAGCGCAGAACAAGGAAGCGATCTTTGCAATTTTCTTTAGCAAACTTGGCCACGCGAACAAATTTACATTTTTAACGTAAATCTTTATTAGTAATTCATCCATTACAGTTACAATACTTCGATTCTTTGTGCAGTCTTAAAATGTAAATTTTTCTCATAAAATCGCGATTAGAGAAGAAACGTTGCGAAAATCGGCGCTAAAATCGCAAATAATTTTACTGTGCGACTCAAATAACGGTAAGAATCAAAAATTGAAAACAAAATTTGAAATAATCGACAGAAGATTATATTAATCGAGAGATGTCGCAATATTAAATATATTGAATATTGAATTAAGAGCAATGATGCTGGAGTGGAAAAATAATTTGCAGAGATATAGATGAAGAACATTTTGCAATAGATTTTTGCAATTTATTTCCAATATGTGTGTTTATCTTAAATCTAAATCTAACTAGCGCAACATTTCGCACAACGTTTGTAATCGTTGCTAATTAATAGGTCGAGTTTAATCGATTATTGACGACGAAACGTTCACGATATCGCGATAAAGATGGACGATGCTTTCCAAAACGAACCGGCCCGGTTTTAGATCTGCCTAGATCGAAACTCCATGAGACGAGTGAATTCGCAACGGATCGCTAGGTGTTATCATCCGCCTATTCGTAGAGTAATTGCGGCTACAAACGACATGCTGCGGTGAGTTTCTCGCGGCCGTCGATTTTCTCGTTCCGAACGCGCACTGAGAAAGGACGGGCGTTTCTATTGCGGGAAAATTGGTCAACATGGCGCGCCATGAATACCGAGAAAATACGGCACAATGGCACGTTAATTTGCAACTTTCTTTAATCGCTCGGTCTTTTTTCAAAGGCATCTCAAACCGAATCGAGCAGCTCGCACTACTCGCCGTTATGCGGCAATTACGCAGCGATTATCGTTTGCAAGTTACACATTATTTTCATTCTTACATTCTTGCATTCTTATATTTCAAATATTGAGTGTGATCTGCTTGTTAAATTCGTCACAACTGCTGATTATAACTGCGAACAAGTGGATCGTTTAATATTAATAATATTAATATTCATCAGGAACCTTAATATTATCTTGAGTTATAACATCGAGGAAACATATGATGAAAATTCTTGCAAAATGAATTAAAATAAAAATGTTTTCCAATAAAATAATGTTTTTCACTTGATAAAAATATAAATATTATAAAATATATCAAAAACTCTTCTTTTATTTTATGTTAATTAATAAATAACTGTATATTTAAAATTAAATTGCGGCTCTCTTCTTGATTAGACACAATTCATTTTCTAAATATATAATTATTTATTGATTACTAAAACGAGAGTTTTCAATATACTTTATAAGTCTGTTTCATCGAGCGCAAATATTATTTTCTTGAGAAAGATTTCTATTTTAAAATATTTGACAAGAATTTTCATCATGTATTTTCTCGCTTGTAACATCATAATTCAAGAGAGTTGCAGTAAATCAACAGATACAGAAGTAATCATCAGTTCTAATATCATTTTCAAATAATAAAAAGAAATTTTAACGTGTAAATAATAATTATATAAAAAACTTTATTGGCTTATTTCTTATTTTTAGAAAAAATATGGTTGTATTATATATCACAGGTATAAATATAAATTTATTATTGATGTATCATTAAAATTCTCTCTTGGATATAATATAGATATATTTCATATATGTTATATCACGTACGTTTGACATGACACGTTTACATTTACTATGCTTAATTATCCCGGTTTAATACGAGTTGTGATTTTCATGTAACAAATCGCCAACAGGTCCAATTTTTTTGGCTAATGTTGTAATAAAAAAGTGATTTGATATGAAAAATAATATAACAGTACCTATAAAAAAATATATCTTAATTTTTATTCTCTTAAAATTTAACTTTATTTTAATTATGCTATTTATATAACAATTATATATCCTACGTGGTTATTTAATAATAATTTTGTAATGTATGTGTTTTTCGAAGGATATATTGAATCTTATTCCTAGTTAACGTATACAACTGTTACGTAATAAATAGATTCGATATTCTATAAATAAATAAATTCTTAATTATTTACTTTTTTTATACAAATTCAATGATGTATCTTGCAGTACATTTGAATCTCAATGCTAGACATTGGAAGACACTGCAAAAAAATTAATAAAAACGTAAACGATTTAATCGTCAAATCAACTATAGTAGTATATTTTCAAACATATTTAGACAAAATTAATAAAAAAGAGATAAGTACAAGGTGTCAAAATAAATGAAATAATTCGATGATGATGAATGTGCATAAAATTAAAGAATAAAGGGAAAAAGCGAAACAACGGAAGAAAAATGGATGCGAGTGAATTTAAGTGGTTCGACTAGCAGACCTTTATATACGCGCAAGTATAGTTGTATAGTGAAAGCCGGTATCTCTCGAATCGGACAAAAATATCGGAGAAACTGGTTGAAATCAGTTTACGCATAGGCGGTGCGCGGTCGCGCATAATATTGCATATGCAACCCGTTATTACGTAATGTCGCCCTGTGACGCTTGATTAAAAATGCAAATCCCCCCCCCCAAGGAAAGTAAAAAAAGAAAAACAAATAAGAAAAAGTGAGTCGCCGGTTATAATTCCAGCTCGATCGAGCAATTGAATTTGCGGTAGTTCCCGGCGAGAAAACTTTCGTGATTTGATTTTCTTGTGTTTGATTTTCTCCTGAACTAACCACCAAAACTTTTGCTTCTTTCTTTACCCAATGAGAAGATAACTTCAAAATTCACTTTCAGAATTTTTTATATCTTAAAGATATCTTAAAGTTGTCTCATGCGTCGATTTTAGCTATTCCGTTCATTGGGTATTTCCTCCAAGATTTGATGCGCATTCCAGTTATGTTGAAGATAATTCGCTGGACGCCGCAAAGTCGCCGCAAAGTAGCTGAAAATTTTCAGGGGACGACCGGTCTCGAGGATCCCGCGACAATTTTGGAGTCCTTCGAGAAATCATCGAGTCGAATGAAAACCGGTCAGACAGCATTTTGTTAAATTCGCCGAGTTTTCCATCCCGATACGACGATCCATTTAACTCGCCATTCTCAAAGAGGTAATACTACGGGTAAGAAATGCGTCAGATGACCAACCTGTAGCTCGCGTCTGTCGACCAATCGTTACCCTCACGATCGATCTTGGATCTTGGGTCACGTCTCCGATGATCTTTGCGGGTGTCTCTCTCTCTCTCTCTCTCTCGCTCTCTAAGCCCAGGAGGCGTTATCCCTTCAGGAGGATCTAGCGATACCCGCGGACACGCGAGTCTTCGCGCATGTTAACGCACGCGGACGATCGCACGCGTCGAGGGTCATGCTGTCCTGAGAAGACGCGAATCTCTCATGGTCGGGCGGTATGCCGATGACGATCGATCATCGAGATTCCGCCGCTGTCACCACGCGGGTACATCCACCGATAAGCCCGAGGACGTCAACGACGCACAACGACGAACTGGCACTTTCTCCGACCGGCTGCACACCACGCACACCTTCGCGTCGACGAAGTCGGCGGCTTCCTCGCGAAGGCGCCGCGATAATGCGGGAACGCGGCGTTTTCCTCCTCGTTCGCGCGAAATTCGATGTCGAATCGCGCGAACCCGCGGGGAATGCTATGTAAATTTAATTATTATCGCAAATTATCGCGGCAATAAAATGTCGGAAGAGAGCATTAGCTCTCTCGGGAGGCTTTTCCCGGAAACAATCAACGAAACGATAAAGTTAAAAATTTCTTCCTCTTTGCTCCTTATCCTAACCCGTTAAAATATTCCCGAAATAAAATATTCTTAGAAAAAGGATCTAAGTGCTACGTGTCACGTGGTTCTTATTCCATCGACCTGCAGTCCGATCACTAGCGGTTTAAAATTAATTTTTCTCGAATTTTATTTTGCAGAAGTACAAGAAGCTGTTCTTATCGCGCCAAAATTTCGGAGCACATGGTCGAAAATTTTTTCCTCTGCTTTTTGTTTTTCTTTTTTATTTTTGCACCGATTTTTGCACTCGCCAGGATTCAAGTCACCGTGCGCTCGAATCGACGGACGATCCCGGATTAACATTCGGATTCGGTCAACCTCGCTCCGTGGAAGCGATTGTCAGACTGAAGTCGTCGTACCGCTGGTAAGAGTACGTGCATGGGTTCCTTATCCCTTCTGTTAGCACGAGATCCCCTCTTTCTCTTTCTCCTTCGGATCCCCTCTTTCTCTTCTCTCGTTCCAACATCATCATTATCCTGCTTAAAGCGCTGAATCGACCAAGCAAATCGGCGATTCTTCGGAAATATGTGTATACAATGTTTCATCCCTCAAAAAAAATAATTAGATTTCGTGATAAGAAGTTGAAAAAAAAATCAGATCATGTTTTTGACGATATAAACTTTAATTGGTAAAGCGATACATAAATCTTACGTTGATTCTCAAGTATTTTATTTTATATTAATCTACCTCGATTCATCTTACCGTCGTTTTTGTTTTCTTTTCGACTTTTACTTTTACAAGACTAGGTAAATTTTATCTCGTCCAACATCTGCTCGTTGCGTAACGGTGATTCTCACGCGTTTTTTCACAAAGGTTTCGCGCGCGCAAACCGTAATGCAGAACGTAAATCGTAAAAATTGTCGTTTACGAGACACTATGATGCGATAATAATTAACGAAGGAAGATGGAGCTTTCGCTGTTATATGCCATTTCGGGAGAGGGCAGAGTTCAGGACCGTTCGCAGGACCATTCGCAGGATCGTTCGCGGAAGGCTGGGTATTAACGTCACTTTCGATGAACATTGCCGAAATTACATGCCTACTTTCGATGATCTTAATCACCGCCCTGTCAACGCCGAAGGGAAACGCGCGGAGAAACACGACCGAGTGACCGCGATCTTCATCATGTTCACTCGCTATGTTCTCGCTATGTTCTCTACTTAATGGTTTTTTAATATCGCAGTTACTATAAATAATCATTTGTCTGCTTTCTTAATAGAATTTTTAGATAATGATCCACATGTCATTATAGTCATATAAATTTTGATTGATAAATCAAAATTTTTGATTCCTTTTATATTCCATGAAAAATGTTCGGCAGAAAAGAGGATAATTTCTGTGGCCATGACAACGTAATTATCGCAAAGCGATAATTACGTTGTCGATTGTTTTAATAATTTAACATACGATAGTGAGACATAATGAGAAAATATATAAATAACACACATATTATATTATATACTTATTATATTATACAATAAAAGAACAGTTGAACATTAAAATTAAAACCGAGCCGTTTATGGAGCGGTGCAGAAATGGAAGTGTAACAGACATACAGACAGACAGACGGGTAGACAGACGGGGAGTAAGAGGTTCGCAAAGAGTCGAGAATCAGTCGAGAAAAGTGCGAGGGAAAAGTGAGCTGGGCGACCTTCGCGACAATTCACTTACCTACCTTCCGATCTCTTGAATCCAGCTCGTTCTTGTAGCTGCTCGATTTTTCGTGAATGCTTCTTTTATGTCTGGCCAGCGCGAGAAATAACTTCTGCGATCAGTACCAAAAATAACGCTGTCATGGCTTATAATTGCGGATAGAAAATGTCTAATTTTAGATAATATTATATTATATTTATATAGTATTTTTCTTTTATTAAAAAATTCATAAAATAAATAAGATAGTCTTTTATACTCAAAAGAAATAGAGAACGATAAATATTATTGTTTTCATAATGCATTCTTCTGGAAAAGAGAAAAGAAAGAAAATTCTGGATAAATATAGTTTAAAAAGATATTGTGAAAGGAATTTTTGAAACAGCATAATGTAGTAAGTTCATGTTATGATTAAAAAAACCTTTATAATTTTATGTATATAATTTACAAATTTTACAATTATTTAAATACAATAAATACATCTA